GCGGCTCGGCCGGGCGCGCGGGCCGGGCCGCCAGCGCCTCCAGCTCACGCTCCATGCCCGCCGCCGCGCTCCTGCTGCGGCCCTGCTGGGCCAGCTGCCCGCCTTTCCGGGTGGCGGCGGCGCCCGGGCCCGGGAGGACACGCCCCCGAAGGCTGCGCCCGGCCCGACCCCGGGCCCGCAGCCTGAGATCCCCGAGCTCCAGCCGGGAGCTGGGCGGGGGCAGAGGCTTTCTCCCCCAGCGGTCTAAAGGTGGCGCCTCCCGCAGTCCCTGCGGCAGAGGCGGGGAAACTAAGCTGTTCATCCATCCATCCATCCATCCATCCATCCATCCATCCATCCATCCATCCATTCATCCATCTATATACGTTCATCTGTATCCATTCAACAAGCATTTATTGAACACCTACTAGGTGAAGAGGAGCCAAAGGTGGAGAAAGACAGAAAATTATCATGTGAACAAATATACCTTCACAAACTAGATTGGATTGAAACGCGGAGCAGGTATTTCTGAGGAGTTCTCATGGTTTGGGGACGGAATTTTGGAGGCAGGGCTGCCCCTGACTGCTACTTCGGAGTGTTCGGGGTAGAGTGGGCACGAGAGAAAGGGGTTGGGAGGTGAGAAAAGAAAGGAAGCAGCAGTCTCTTCTGTTACTTCTGTCCTTAACTTAGTTTTGGGCATTCAGCCTTTACCAAGAACAAATTGAAGGATCATTATTTACACACATCCTTATTACCTGCAGGACACTTCCCTCGGCACTGGGGAGTGAAGGCAGATAGTGTTGCTCTCTGTGGAGCAGAAAGTCTAGGGGATTGGAGGTGGGGCACTGATGGCAATCTGGTTTATGGGAGATGGGGGGAGGGGGGGAGGGGAGGGGAGGGAGGAGGAGGGGCAGGAGGGTGTCAAAAAGCCACATCAGAAGCAAGAATGCATTTCCTTTCATTCTAAGGATCTAAGTCAGCTTTATCCAATAGAACATTCTGTGATGATGGAAGTATTTTATAATATCTGTACCATCCAATGCAGTAGCCACTACCCATATGTGGCTATTTTTGAGCACTTGAAATCTGGCTAGTGCAGCTGAGAAACTGAATTTTACATTTTATTTCACTTTAATTAAATGTAAATAACCACATGAAGTGAGTGGCTAGGGCATTAGACAGTGCTGGTCAGGCTCATTACCTCCCCTCTGTTACACTGTATATACCGAGGGCCCCTTTGGATCAAGAACATGTTAATACTCAGCCCTCTCCTTCACCATATAGCCCCAGTCTGCTTCGTGGTGACCCCATTTCCTGCCCCCTATAGTTATGTTGAAACATCTCCTCCTGGAGGGTTTGTATGTCCATTTAATAAAACAAACCTTTTGGGAGTACTTTCTGTGTACAAACATTGGGGACTCAAATATATACAAAGCAGCCCTGCCCTAAATCTGATCATTCAGCAGTGGTTTTAGCCAATGTTTGGGGGAAGAACCCCATATCTTTGTTGGAGTCTTAAAATGACCTCTTGCCTCTCTGTACCATCTTTGTCTGGAACAGGGGTACAGGGGCTTGGGTGGGAAAAGCACAAGATTTGGAGCAAAAAGCCCTGGGCTGGAGTCAGTTTGGGTTCCAGCACCAGCTCAGTGCTTCGGTCAACCACCCTGCATTTATTAAGCATCTCTACCATGCGCTGTGCCTGGTGCTGGGAAGACAGCTGCGAACAGAACAAGTTCCTACCTCTGTGGAGCTGACGGTCTAGTGGAGACTGGGAAAGACAGACGATAAACAAGCAAACACATAAATAACAGCTTCAGATGGTGATTGGTGCTGCGAAAAGAAACAGTGCAGGGCTAACAAGATGGTAATGTACTTGAGATGCTGGCCCCTTCCTGTAAATACAATCCTAAAGATGTCCGCGAAGCAAGAGGGTAGTTGAAGAGGACTGAGAAACCAATGTAAAAACCCACAAGAAGCACACTGCCCCTGCCACTGTCCAGGAGGCAGCAGGTAGCTGGGTTGTGGTGTGTGGGAAGGAAACAGAAGCCCCTTCCAGATAAGAGCTGGGCGCCCTAGAACAGGATAGGTCAAGTGAACACCTTATAATGTGCTCTTTTCTCTGCCCACTTTGGTCTCCATAGACCATTATCCAGCTCCAGCCTCATTTCCATTTAGCCCCCACCCCATGGTACTGGAAGGCAGAAAACTGTTGTAGCCTCAGATGGAGCATGAGGCTGAGGTTAGAAGTACAAACTAATAAACCTGCAGCACCTAGCAGTCCCTTCTTCCCCCTGCCTGGGTCAGGGCATTCCATCCACAACACCTAGCTTGTGAAAAGAGCAGTGGCCAGGAGAGTGTGCCCAGAAGTTGCCTGGTAGTGAGAGGGGATGGCAGTGGCACATGGGGAGTAGCCAAGTCACACTATAATGCCAGAAGCAATTCCCATGCCCACCTGTATTCTTTGAGCTCCTTAGGAAAGATACAAAGTAAAACCTAAACATTAGTCCCTTTCAGATTTACCCACTGCCAGCCAAGGTAGCTGATATCCAGAGGAACGCGAGCTCGCTGAAAAAATTAATCAGATTTCTGGAAAATGTAAGACAGTGCAGATTTAATCAATATATGAATTAAGATTCATCTCAATCACAGTAACACAAACTCCAAATAACAGTATTGTAAATGCAATAAAAGTATTTTCTTCTCTTGTAGAAGTTTGAAGGTGGACAGTTCATGGCTAACAGAGTAGCTCCATTTTACTAGGTCTTTGAGGACTCAGGTTTCATTCCAGATCAATGCTCCCCTATTTTGTCTTCATGATCCAAGCTGACAGCTAAAGCTCCAGCCATCACATCTGTGTTCTAGGCAGTTGGCTAGCAGAGGGCTGAGGAAGGAACAAAAATCAATTGACTTCACATTTCTTAACAGCAACACTGGATTTAAGAAGATATTTGAATATTTTAAAGTATCAAAGAGAAAGAACTTTGAACCTAGATTTTTGATCTCCAGCTAAATTAACAGGTTTTTAAGGGATCAGAGGGTTTATTACGTATAGCCCCTCTTTGAAAGCACTGTTAGGGGAAGCGTTCCAACAGGAAGGGAAATGAACACGGGCGTGTTGAATAACAGCAAGTAAGAGGGATTAAATCACTTGTTTCAATTATTGTCTAAATGGTGCCGTGTAGCACCAGCAAATCACAGCCTGGGTGGGCATAAGCCAAGAGGGTGGCAGAGCGGGTGGGGGCCCTACCAGGTAAGGGAATTGACCCCATCTAGGTCACCTTTTTGAGAAAAAGAGGAAAACATATCAACAGACTAGAGAGGAACTCTCAAAGGGGCCGGTGTTTTTGTACTTTCTTACAAGACTTGTCTAAAACCAACATGCTGCCTCTGGAACTCTTTATTCTCTGGCTCTAAATTTCCAGGTAACAATCCCAAACTTCCCAGTGACGGGATGGAGGATGGATCAGAGAGGGCAGGGTGTTAAACAAAGGTCAGAGTCCAGGGCCAGCAAAGTTTATCTTTACCTGTGCTATTTACATGCCAAAGGTTTAGGTATTAAATTAACAGGAAATTGCAAAGACCTTAGAACAAAGGCAGGAAGCCAAGAATATTTTTCCTTTCCTCTGTCCATGCCCTAAAAAATCATAAAACAAACAGGCTTTTTCTTATTTCTCTGGTTTATCCATGGAGATATAAAGTGAAACTAGGATTCCTGAAGCAATTTGTTTCTTAGTGTTTGCTCAAGCAGAACGTGGGAGGAGGTGTGACAGAAAAGTGTTGATTTGGAAAACAAGGAGCAATCTTGGTCTGGTGGCTGGTGCCTCCAGTCTCCTCTCTTCTCCCTTTCTTTCATCCTACTCTCCTTTTCTTCCCTCTTCCCTCCCTGCTTCTCTTCTCCCCTCTTCCCCTGTCTCCACCTCTGCCTTTATTCCTCTTCCATCACCCTTTTGTCCCTCTTTCTTTCCTTTCTTTTCTCCCTTCACTCTCTATTCTCCCCAAAACAATTGTATGAGGAAAGTGGGACCTGGGGAGACTCTATGAGCTCCCTGGTGAGCCAGATAGAGGGGAAAAAGATCTTAAATGTTCGGGAGACCACGGAGAGGAAGAATATTAGGGAAGCCTCTTGGACCACAGAGGAATGAGGTTGGGATAGGAGGAGGCATGGGAGAAAGTTCTAAGACAGTCCAACAAGGGGCTGTGGGTCCCACTGTGGGGCAGCCCTCTGCTGTGTCCTGGCTGCTGGATGGCCAGACAGGGCACCACTGCGCTAGGACTTCATTTCCTCATTGTTGGGGCAGAAAAATTTTCCCTCCCTTCTAGATTCTTCGGCTGGTCTAATAGGTAAATTGACAGAAGGCAAATTAATAGGAGAAAACCTATTATAATTGTAATTATGTACTGGAGCTTCACAAAGACGGGAAATGTAAGGGCAGCTGGGTGATTGAGGCTTATTCTCCATCCTGAGCTGAAGAATGGGATAGGGGCCTGGGGCTCCAGAGGGGAGGAGGGCCACTTCCAGGAAGATGAGAAGAGCAGATGGTTGCAAGCATATGTTTGCCCTGCTGTGCAGGTTAAGTCTTTCAGAGGTAAAAAGAAAAAAAAAAAAAGTAGGGGAGGGCATATCTCAAGTGGTAGAGCGCATGCTTAGCATACACAAGGTCCTGGGTTCAACCCCCAGTACCTCCTCTAAAAATAAGTAGGTAAACCTAACTACCTCCCCCCCAAAATAAATAAATAAAATAAAACAAATTAAAATAAATAAATAAATAAAAAAAATGGTAATTTAAAAAAAGTTTATCTCTGGTAATAGCTGTCTTTTTGATACAGGTCTCCTTCCTAAATTCTTTGAAGCAGTCCTGGGAGAGGCAAAAACCTTTTCCTAAGTTTGCTGGGTCTTGATCGCCTTCAGCTCAAAACAAATTACATGCCAAAGGGGAACATTTTGGGGGCAGCATATCCTGTTCCCCTTCATGGGCCCCTACCTGGCCAGGACTAGCTCCATTCAGGACGCAGGGAGTGCAGCTCTCCGAGACAGCTGGTGTTCCTCTGGGGGTCAAGCATCTCAATTTTACCTGAACTCCAGGGCTCTAATAAAGGTTTGTTAAGAAGTCTGGGAGAGGATGCTGTGAGCCAGGGCTTAAACCCCTACTGTACCCCTGCTGGGCTCAGTGGTGTCAGAAGAAGAGGCAGGTGGACCTGCCCCCCGCCCCGTCCTCTGCACACCGCCCCCTGCACACCTGCACCAGCTGAGTGAATTGTGGGGCAGGGAGGCAATCCTCCATCAGTAGAAACCTGTACTCCCACCGTGTTGAGCCCATCCCACCCCTTCCCATCCTCCGAGGGGCATAAGGGAGGGGACCTGGGAGTAACAACTGAGGGAACTTCTGTGTGAAGCACAGGCACCAGCCAGCTCTGCTTGGCATTGGGAGAGGCTGACAGGCTCGCCTGAGCAGGGCGCACATCTGCGTCACCAGCCCAGTGCAAAATGCAGCCTCAGCCTGCAGCCTCAGAGAAGGCATCTGCACCCGCTGCCCTGGCCCTGGCCCCAGCCTCAAGATGACTTCATGAGGCTGTCAGCA